CCAAAAGAAAACAGGAAATAAATTTCCAAGTTATCTACTAGATGACAGGAAGTAAAACAAATGGTCAATGAAACTGACAATGTTGGTCCCAAGTGAGCCCACAAAGCAAGCCACTAGGAAGAGAAAGGAGAAGACACAGCCCAGCACAGAACTTCACTGAGGGATGCAGGGACAGAAACAACCTAGGAATTGAAGGCTAATGACAGAGGTGGGTCATGGTAATAAGAGACTGGCCAAATAGTTGAAAATTAATTGGTAAATAGGGCTGGAGAGATGGCTCCATGGTTAAGGCACTTGTCTCTCTTCTAGGTGATCCAGCTTTGGTTCCTAGCACCCACATGACAGCTCACAACCATCCATAACTCCAGTTCTGGGGAATCTGAAGCCCTCTTCTGACCTCCATGGGCACCAGACATGCATGTAGCACACATACATGTATGTGAACAAACTACTCACACATACAATAATCTAAAAAATCATTTAAAAATTAATTAGGGAAACACTGGGAAGAGCACTGGCAACAGAGCATGGGAGGCATGTGCAATGCCAGGGAGCACATTCATTCTCCAAAGTCTACAGCCCCAAATCTGCCAGGGAGGTTCCAAAGAAGACGCCAAGGAGAATGGTTATAGAACACACCCTCTCGGGCGGATAATACATGTATATCCCTTTATGTACTCGGTTAAGTTTCATTACATCAGACACACTATGGACAACTCAAATTAAAGCATTACATATGAACTTTTGTAAATGTATAAAAATTCATACATGTGTAAATATGAGTATGGGTCTGTTGTGTGACATTTTGTTTGTGTTCTGACAAATAAAGCTTGCCTGGAGATCAGAGGGTGGAGCTAGCCACTAATTAACCATAGAGGCCAGACAGTGGTGGCACACACCTTTAATACCGGCACTTGGGATCTCACTCCTTTAATCCCAGCACTTGGGAGGAAGAATCAGGAAGATTAGGAGTTCAAGGCCACTCTGGGCTACATGATTCTACCAATCTAAAAGAGAAACAGAGCCGCTCGGTGGTGGTGCATGCCTGTAGTAGAATATTTTAAGGTGTGTTACTTTTGTTTATGTTGCATTTGTTTATCTCTGTGAAGCTGTGTTACTGTGCCTGTCTAAAACACCTGATGGTCTAATAAAGGTCGAACAGCCAGTAGCAAGGCAGGAGAAAGGATAGGCAGGGTTGGTAGGCAGAAAGAATTAATAGAAAGAGAAAACTGGGGAATGGAAAAGGAGCAAGGAGCCAGAGAAGGAGGAGGACTCCAGGGGCCAGTCACTCAGCTACACACCAAGCCACAGAATAAGAAACACAGAAAGGTATACAGGAATAGAAAAGAAAAGGCCCAGAGGCAAACAAGGTAGAAGGGATAATAAGAAAAACTGGCAAGAAACTAAGCCAAGCTAAGACTGGGTATTCATAAGTAATAATAAGCCTCCGTGTGTGATTTATTTGGGAGCTAGATGGCAGGCCCCCACAAAGAATAAAATACCAACAACACACACCTTTGATCCCAGCACTTGGGTGGCACACGCCTTTAATCCCAGCACTGGGAGGTGGAGACAGGAATATAAGGCAGGTGGAGACAGGATCTGACGCCCATTCAGTCTGAGGATTCTAGAGGTAAGAAATCTCTAGGTGGCGGCTGCTCCACTTCGCTGATCTTTCAGCTTTGCTGATCTTTCAGCGTTCACCCTAATATCTGACTCCAGGTTTTTATTGTTAAGTCTAACCAGCCTTGGGCTTCATGGGTCATTAAAGACAGACACAAAACAACACATGCACGAGAAGGGGAGGTGTGAACAGCAGTCAGTCTCACTGGAGTGATCACACCAGTTTCTGGGTAGTTTAACTCTGCTCAGCTCAACGTAGAGGCTTACAAAGAGAAGATGGGAAAGAAAAGCAGCCAACCAGTTTGCTGGGAAGAAGCCAAACCAAATTACAGAAAGCTGTATGGTTTCTGAAATGCACAAGACTTTCTAAAACGTCTTTTCTACAGACGCACAGAGGACTTGTCTGAGACTCTGGTAGGTCGGATTGTAGACAGACATTAACAGGTGCTACTGTGGAATGAAATCAGGTCACAAAAGGCCAATGAAAATCACTTACTTGAAGAAGAAAGGGGCTTTTAAAAGAAAGTAGCTATGAAAATATGAATCTGCTAATGGTCAGCATACACATTTCTGCATAACTCACACAGAATTTCACCTACCTTATTATATATGGGCAATACACAGCAGAAAATGAGTATATGTAACCTTCAATTGGGTGTTAATCATGTTTAAATAAAGGAACAAATTTGATTTCAGTAGCCATGTCAATTATGTTTCTGCCATCCTTTTTCTTGATCTTGGAATAATTGATGTTTAACATTGGGGAAGAGATCTCTTCATCCACAGAAATGCGCATGAAAGAACTTATCAAGCAATTAACCCAGGTAGGCATACAAACACTCCCTGAAGCAGCAACATTAGCAGCAAGAAACGTGATTAAACACAAACACCTTAACAAACTAGAGATGACAGGGCTTGTACTATAGAAATAAATGATTCAAGAATTGCCCTGAAGGAAAACTGATATTAAAAAAGGACCCACCGTGATGAGGTAATGATGATGTGGACGCCACGCTATTATGGGCAAGTGCTTATTATATATTTTTATTTGCTATTCACCTTTATGAAAGGCACTGGGCACCAATTATTGTTCCCAGTTCAAAAGGTTGCCTACAAATGCATGATTCCAGGATGTTATTTCTAGAATGTCCTTTGAGCAAAGAGCAAGCTTATCTAATCACTTCAACTGCACCTCTGATGGAGTCTCCAACAGTGAGGGAGGTGCAGACTCATCTTACTTAGGACATCATAAGTAAGTAATGCATATCAGACAATACACTGAAGCCAGCCTCTCTGCACAGAAATAGTCTTCCTTGTGTCAAGCTTCTCTCTACATAAACCTTGACATTTTCCTGGTGTTTAGAAGCCTGCTGCTGGCTTCCAAAAGCTCTGGCGCCATACCATGCTGTCACTGTGACAGCCCTCCAGTGAGCTATCAAAAACCCAGCTAGAACATTTTGACTACAGTAGTGCGCTTGCCATCAAAACATTAAATAGCAACATTTTATATTTGTCTCTATTAATATTAGTGATGCTGTGTGAACACTAATATGGTCTTACACTAACATAGTTCAGTCATGGAGATGTCATCAGAATACCACATTTTGGCACAGCATGTGGGCGAGGTCTGGTTTGCTAAGAATGTCTAAATGCATGCTTCTCAAGTCACTGAGTCCCCTTTAACAAGGAAGTGGTATGAGGATGCTACTGTTTCTCCAGAATCTATTTCCAGAAGCAATGGCAAGGGATATGTAGCATATCACATTCATACTGGAAATATTTTGGAATAAGACAGAGATTTCAAAAGTGAGTCTAGATGAAGGGGTTAGCATTTGAGTTAGTTCACTTCTGGCTTGAGAAGCCAACAGTGGACCTAGGTTCTCAAATCGCTACGGCCCTGCGATGGTGAGACCCTGGACTGGAACCACAGCTGTGTCCAGTGGCTGGACAGGAGATCCCTCTAGGCTTTTTGGAAACACTTTGGCTTTGGAAAGTGAGCCCGACGGAGATGGAGCTGTCCTGGAAGTCCGAGCCTAAGCGTCTACAGCACTCCACTCAGGACAACTAGACCTGAGGTGGCAGTGATGAGGAAGCAAAGGCTGGCTTGCTCTTAGCCTCTCCCCTAGACAACTGTCCTTCATTTTGCTATGAAAAGAAAGGATCATATTGAGATTCTGATTAAATAAGTGTAAGAATGGATAAAAAGGCAAAGTCTTGCCAAACAAACTCTACAATGGCATTGAGATCAGCCTTCCTCCCACCTCACCACAAACTATCTAAGCAAGGCAACATTAACAGGACGCTTGAGGCAAGAATCAGACTATCTGTTCCTATTTTAGGAATATAGATGACCTCATGAGCAGATTTTTTATGGACATAAAGACAGTATAGAGATATACTGATCTCTTTAAGTGAATACAATGACTTGATACCAACGTATTTCTCCACATCCATTCTTTCAAGGTGTCTGCTGCTCATCTTGCCTTGTAAGTTTTCCCGCAAAGACAGACTAACTGAAATGCTAAAAAGACTCTCTCTAGAGAATGCAATAACCTGACTGCATGTTAATTGGTTCTATTGTGAGAGCCAAAGTTATATCTTAAGTTTTAATTACTGTGCCTAGGTGATCCACAAAACAAAAATTCTTCCGCTCTGCAAGCCCCTTGCCCAAGGACAGACAGATAGTTCCTGAAATTCTGGAGTCTACTGTTTATGGGAGATAACAAGCCACATTTTCATTCCCCTAAACAAGCTTGTTTGACCCATCTGTGCTGGATGGGCTTGATCACATGTGGGCAGAAGATTCACATGCAGGAAGTACATCAGGATGTATGGTTGCCCCTGACTGGACCTGATGGGAATTATGGGTTTTCCTTCTTAAGCCCTTGTAAAACTTGATTCGGGGCCATTTTTCTGGGGAGCCAGAGATGGACCTGGCCAAAGCCCATCAACCTGGCCAGTATTTGATTAAAACTTACTTCAAATTTGGCTTTAAACTGTGGTAGTGGTCTTATTCTTGACCGATGGGATTAACACTAGCAACTAGGGGAAGCCACACCCCCTCCAAAGGCCTTTCTTGGTCAGATCCATCCCTTATTCACATTACTGTCCAAGGGATCAGCTCCTGGAGCTTCTCTCTCTTCTCACTTCTTACTATATGTGGCCGGTCCCTTTATTCAATTTTACTAAAAAAGAGAATGTGACCTAAGATCTGCTTCCAGGTGTCCATATATCATAAGACGGAGGGGAAGACATCATAGAACAAGACAGCATGGGTGAAAATGTCTATTTAGAATAAAGACTGACTCAAGCCTCAGCCGCATCAGCACCACACTGACCTGCAGGCAGAGGCATGGGTGTAACCTCTCCTCAAGCCAGTTAGACCGATGGCAATCCGTCCTGCCGCTCACCTGGAAAAGGCGGCCCCCAACACAAAGGCAGCGTACTCCTTCACCAGGGGTTCTGTGCTGTTGAGCCCGTTAATCACCACCTGAAGACCACCGAAGGACAGCAGGTCCTGTGCATTATCCATCTGCAACAAAGGCACTGCTTAGTACAGGATAGCCATCAGGGAAGGAGCCTCTTCTGAGAGCTCTTCTTCTGGTGACTACCCAAAACCAAATGTAAAAAGCGGCAGTGGCATTTCTGAGTAACTAGAAAGGGTGTATAAACAACCCAAATTTTAAAGTAATCTTACATTTGAGAACTTCTCATTCATGTAACACCATTTATGAGCACCTGCGTGGGAATCAGCGGAAATGGCACCTAGCTCTTGCTAATGCCAAACATGCCTCAGAAAATTCTAATGCTGCAATGAGTCACAAAGCTTACTCCAAACATACAAGCTGTTAGCACAAAGAATCTGGCATCATGGCACCACCTAAACAGTGCCATACTTCCTGTGGCTGTACAAACACAATGGGACCAGTGCAGGCTAAAAAAAGAGTTGACTTTTAATTAGAAACCAGGGACTAGAAGAGGAGCCCTGCTGATAGGGCAGGGTGGGTGGGTGGGGGGTGGGATGGGGGCGTTCTACAAGAGTGCTGGGAGAGAAGTAACGATAGTATCCCTTTTTTTTGTAATGTTGACTAAATCTGAGGACATTTATTATAAAATCTGTACAAAAGTCAGTTTCCCAAAGGCTTTAACCTAGGTCTGCTTCACTAACTAGGGGCCTAAATGCCAGCAATGCACACTATTTCTATCATCACATAGCTGATAAGCTGAGTGACTTCTAACAATGAACCCAAGTGATTACAAAAATGTCTCATTACAATGAAATCAATAATTACACAGATGTCTTAGAAATCCTAGTTTGAGATGTAACAGACATGCTGATTTTGTGGCACTCAGATTATTATTTTAAATTGCTATTAAATAACCATTTAGCCAGGTGGTGGTAGCACCCACCTTTAATCCCAGCACTTGGGAGGTAGAGACAGGCGGATCTCTGTGAGTTTGAGGCCAGCCTGGTCTACAGAGAGAGTTCTAGGACAGCCAGGGCTACACAGAGAAACCCTGTCTCAAAACAAAACAAAACAAAAACAAACAAACAAAAAAAAACCCCACCAAATTAAAAAAATCATTTTACTAGTTAACTTACCAAATCCTGTATTTGTGTATATATATATATATATATATATATATATATATATATATATATGTGTGTGTGTGTGTGTGTGTGTGTGTGTGTGTGAAAGGTCAGACTCTTACAGCCTCCAAAAGGTGCCCTCGTCTCCACATGATGTCACTCTACAGCAAACCAGGAGGGCTCCGAAGTGAGAGCCCAGCAGTGATGTAATGAATGCCTACCTTTCCCACCTAGAACCCAGAGGTGGTTCCTTTCTGACTCTGTCCTAGCTTCTGCCTCCAAACTAGAAAGCAGGTTCTGAGAGAAAAAGCAGGCACAAAGCTTAGCTTAGTCTGACTCTGCCCGTGCTCTTGGGTGGGCCTGGCCTACTTTCAGTACTTGGACGAAGACAGTCATACATGGACAGAACTTCCACAAGAGCAGGTCTCCATGCACTGCTATGGTCCAGTGACTACAAGAGTGAAGAGCATGGAACTGGTGTTCAGTGATGAACCCTGGCGTTGAGAATAAAAATTTGAACTATTCTCCATAGAAAACCCTACTGTGAATTTAAAAAACCAATCTATAGTGTCTGTGCCAACAGGTGCATGGATCCTATTATTACAATCCCAAGGAAGCCTCCATCCAGGCTACAGTGCAGCATCAAGTCTGGCTGCTAAGGGTTGTCCAAAGCCTCACAATCTGTCCCTGTGCAGAAGGATGACTACAGTCTCAAGACCCAGCTAATTAAGAAGGCTTTAGAATGAGGCACTTTGCTGATATAAACATCTCCCTCCTTTAAAAACTTATCAATTCACACCTATCTTTTGATCCTCCTTGGGCCGGGTTTCTGCTCAAAACCCTATCAGCCCACATCTGAGATGGCCACTTACCCAAACCTGGTAGAAGAGCTGCCCTTCTGTTGACCTCAAACCAACACAGCCAGAGTTACTGCAGATCTGTTCTAGATTCTGCTTATCTACATGGCAACAATTCCAGGAGATACAAGTTGCTTTTATTTCTGTAAACACTTCAGCCTTTGAAGGTATCCTATCATTACTTGACTAGCAATGAGAAAGCAAAGGTTCCTTCTGGCCCAAAGCTGGTTCTTCCCAGAGCTACACAGAAGACCGCAAGTTTAGAGCCAGAACTTTTCTCAGGCTGCCTCCAGGATGGGCCAAGACCAGTGGAGAGGAGTGAAGGGGGGGAGACCCTCAGGAAGGGGATGGAGGGAACTATGCCAACACTCAGAAAACTTTGGAGCACTACAAGATGATCAGAGACCAGAAATCTGAGAGAGAAAGGTGGGGTAAATAATTGAGGAGTCACATGAGAAAAGGCAGGTACTCTGCCCAGGGCAGAAGGGGCAGGCAGAGGCCTTTCTCATAAATAATTCACACACTGTTTTCTACACACAAGGTTTTGCTTTTCACATATCCTGTTTTAATAATTAAACGACAACTGCAAGGAATCCTTTGGCAGATCCAGTTCAAGTCCTTGAAGTACATGGCTCTTTAAACCTCTATTCAGTAAATTTAGAGTGGGAATCGACGGAAGGGCCTGGCTAGAAAAGTTCTACTTGCCTCAGCGTTAGCATTACATCACCCAGTTCTCCATCACAACCGGAAACCAGGCTGAGCTATGTATTCTGGAATCTCCCTGAGAAATCACAATGTACCAAGGTCATATGGTACCTTAGAAGACAAGCCCGAGTCAATGACTCAGAACACTGAGGGCATCTTTGCTAACAGAGTGGGTTTGGCCTTGACCAATGGAATGTTTCTGTGGTGACCTCTGGCTGAGTCTGGTGATGTCCAAGGACGTGTGAGAGTGGAATGCGATGCCACCCTGGGGATGACGCTGCCAGATGGGACCTGCAGGGAGAAGTTCTGTGGTTGTTGTCGGCTCATTGCTAGCTTATCCTCTGCGCAACTCACTGCCTTCTAGGCATGGTAAGCCTTTGAGTGATTTCAGCCTTTCATGTGACCTAAAGCAAGACCCTCCAGAAAGCTGATACCTAAAGAGCCACCCAAGGGTGTTAAAGATGAAAGAGTAATACAGGCCGTCAACATCAGTAACCCCTGGAAGCCTTGATTCTTTAAATATCTCCAGTGGAAAACCAGGGAGGGTTAGGAGGGGGAAGAGAACCCAGGTTCATTTTATCACCTCAGAAGAGGATCACAGTCTTGCTGTTTGGGGTCTGAGAAAGAGTGAGCAGGGGAAGAGGATGAATTAACCCCTGCAGACAGCAGGGTGGGTGAGGGGACAGGATGAGGAGGACACTGAGGCTCTACTCTGTGATTATGCCTGAGATTATGACTGCACAGCCTTTTGGGCCTCTACTCCATTAGCTGTTTCCACCAAGGCTCCCTATCTCCAGTCAAATTCCCAACAACAGCTGGAGGTACTGTTGTTACACCACCCTCTGCCCACTGCGCTCCAATCCCACTTTTCCATGGCCTAGGAGGGCCCATGGTCTCTTCCTTTTCTTTCTTCTCTCTCTTTTTTCTTTTTCTTTCTTTCTTTCTTTCTCTTTCTTTCTTTCTTTTTCTTTCTTTCTTTCTTTCTTTCTTTCTTTCTTTCTTTCTTTCTTTCTTTCTTTCTTT